TGTTGAATAGAAGTACTGATGGTGTTATTTTTATGATTATAATTGGAAAATTTTCACTATTTCACCATTAAGTATGACTTATATTATTGGATTTTTTTAATTCATGAGAAATCATTTAATTTTTTGAGATATAATCCAAAACTGTCATTTTTATTTGTTGCTAAAGTTGTTCAGGTTTGGCCATTGAGAGCTTTTTCAAGTTAGCGCCTGCGCCCTTTGATATGGCCCATTCACTTCTCCCTCCCTTCTTTGAGTTCTTCCTTTCTCACATGATCCTTTTGGTTTCATCATGGATTTTCTCTGCCCAACCCCTGGCATCAACTACTTCAACCAATAAAAGTCAAATGCATTTCAATATATAAAGAAAATAATTGGTAAACAAAAATTTAAAATACGCTACTTAAAATAGCATCAAAAATCATGAAATCATTAAAGAGTAAATCTAACACAAACATAAAAAGATTTCTGCACTGAAAAATTATGAAACTTTATTAAGAGAAAATTTAAAAGACCTGTGTAAATGAGAGCCATAATTTTGACTATTCAGTATCATAAAGTAATTAATTATCCCTGAATTGATCTATATATTCAGTGCAATTCCAATCAAACTCATACCTCTTTTTGTATGGAAATTGACAAGCTGATTCAAATATTTATTTGGAAAGGCAGAAAGCTAAGGAAAATCAAAACAGTCATGCAGAAGAAAAGCAAAGTTGGCAGATGCAGGCTCTTAGCAATGAAAACTTTTTATAAAGCTACCTTACTGGATACAGTGTGGAGTTAGCACATGGGTAGACAATAGAATAATGAACCAGAACCGTGAGTGAAGAAATAAACTCATTTGTGGTTACTGACTTTAAGACAGAGATGACATCAAAAGTGGGAAGAATGGTCTATTCAATAGGTAGCACTGTATCACCTGCATCTCTGTATATTAAAAAAAAAAAAATCCTGATGCATAGCTCATACCTCACACTACACAGAAAAAAAAAATCATTTCCAAGTAGATTTTAGATGTAACTGTGAAACATGAAACAACAAATCTAGAAAACAGCATTAAACTTTAAAGAAAAGATGAATGAGTTGAATAATAGTAAGTTAGCAACATGAAAATCTTGTTCATTAGAAAGACAATGTTGAGTGTTTATGAAACTCCTATAGCTCATCATACCTAATGACAGAAGATTTGATGGTAGTATCAAAAACATGAAATATTTAGGTAGAAATGGCAACCCACTCCAGTATTCTTACCTGGAGAATCCCATGGACAGAGGGACCTGGCAGGCTACAGTCCATGGGGTCGCAAAAGTGTTGAAGTCGAGTTAGCCCCTAAACAACAACAGGAATGATCTTGCTCTTATTTAATGCCATAAGCAAAATTAGCTCAAAGTGGATCATACCACAAAAGTTTTTCAAACTTGAGGAAGGCAAATTTTACAGTTAGGACACAAAAGTCACAAACAATAAAACAAAATGCTAATAAATTAGATTTAACCAAAATGTAAAATGCCTGCTCTTCTACAGTTTTCATTAACAAAATGAAAAGGCAAACCAAAGACTGAGAAAATATTTGCAAATCAAAAATGTGATAAAGAACTTATATCCAGAATGTATAAAGAAGCTTTTCGTGCTAAGTCACCTCAGTCATGTCTGACTCTCTGCAACGCTATGGACTGTAGCCCACCAGGCTCCTCTGTCCATGAGACTCTCTAGGCAAGAACACTGGAGTGGGTTGCCAGGCCCTCCTCCAGGGGATCTTCCTGACCCAGGGATGGAACTCAAGTCTCATATCTCCTGCATTGGCAGGTGGGTTCTTTAGTACTAACTCCACCTGGGAAGCCCCAAAGAACCCTTGGAACTCAATAACAAAAAGCCTTCCTTAGAAACTTTACAGAAGCAGTACAGAAAACTTCTCAAATGTACAAGCAGTTGGAAAGTGTATTACTTACAAAACTTAGAGAAAAAGACATTCAAAGACATCGTCCATCAGACTAAAAGGATCAAAATGCAGGACTAACTAAAATTATGCTATAAAAGTACTACTGGGATAAATAATAAACCAAATCATCACAGAAGTAAAGGTATATTTACAAAAGAATGTAATTTTGAAGACTCAAATATAACAATAATTTAATAATAAACTTGCTCTAAAAGCTCATAATATAAAACAACAAGAAGTAGGTGGAAAAGGGGAGAGAATTTAAAGAGTTTTAATGTCCTCATCTCTTATGAGGCATGTCAACAGATACAAAATGATAAGCAAATTGATCAAGTACACCAAAAGACCTGAAAACATTTGTCATCTTTAGCCAGAAGTTTTACTTGTAGGAATTTGTCTTAAGGAAATAACTATGTGCAAAAAAATACACAGATGTTCGTTGCAGCATTATTTTATGATAGACAAAAATTAGAAGGATTCTAAATGCCCAACAGTATGTGTTAGATGAAAGAACTATGTGTATTCATTCACTGAGATACTGATTTTCATTAAGTGGTAGGTAGACAAAGAATATTTAATGATGAGGCAAGAATTTCATTATCACTCAGGTATTTTTCTGTCATTCTAGTCAAAATCAAGAATTTTGCTGTTTTGTGATTTTTTTCTTTTGATCAACAGGACTTATTTGGCACCATCTCTAATTTTTTCTCATTTCTTTTCCTAAGTTGCTTCTTTCAAACACTCTCATGTGGAACACTTTATTTTAACTTTATCTCCCTCAAAAAAAAAAAAAAACTACTCAATGATTTAAGTACTAGTGACTTTGCTTCCTAAAATGGCAGTATCATAATTTATTTTTAAATGAAAAATAAGGATGCCATCACTTAGAAGTGAGTTGGTTTGCAACACCAATGCATATAAATTCAGTGCTTAGTGTCAGACATGGCATTTCAGTTGTATTTTTGTCTCAATAATTTATGGGTTTGACAGACTTAAATAAAACACTAATTACGACAAAGTATAGTAATTTTATGATACAAAGAACTAAAAATTTTTACTAATTCTAAGAAGTCTGTATTTCTAAAAGGACACACACACACACTAGTAGATTAATTCAAACAGGACCTCCAACACATATATTTTCGATAAGAACTCATCTGATCTAGTAATAATATATTCTCCACCACAAATGTGAGCCAAACCCGTAATTCATTTATTTCAAGTATGTGAATGCTCCACCTTCTGGCTCACAGTCAAGCCTCTCAGAAATCCTTGCCCGACAGGCACAAAGTCTTCCTCCCTGCCTGGGAGCAAACTGTTCCGTCAGTCATGGCTCACACAGGCTCATCATGGACCGTTCCAGCAACTCTCAGACCAGTCCCCGAAGAGCTGAAGCCAGCAGCTGTTCACGGGCCGATGACTGCAGAGAGCCGCAGGATGCTGGGGGGTTCGGGGGAGGGCATCTCCCCTCCCAGCCTGGGTGATGCCCACGCTATGGAATTCCATGGACCACATCCCACCTCATTAACTCTACTTGGTACCTCATGGAGCCAACAGCCCATAGCCAAAACTTTTTGGCAAGATCCTCACTGGGTTAAGTTCTAATGAAGCCTGCATCACCAAATTAGATAGCATCACAAAAATATAGAAAACACTTCAGATGAACAGTCGATTTCCCAGGCATCCACCCCTCCCCCTGCACGCTGTTGGGCAGGACCATTTATTATACACCTCAGGTCTTTTTGAAAACCACTCCAGTGTTGCCAGTTCCCAGAGCTTCTTTCTGGCACTCGCTCAAGACTTTCTTCCTCCTTCTTCCCATACAAATATTTCCCGAGTTTTCATTAGAAACAGATTATGAGGTATCTGCATATTTCGGGGGAAACTTCTCCCTGTCACACGCAATGAGCTTTATAACTGCGCCTTATTGAAGATGAACCTGCTCCCCCTTCAAGTTTAATGCTGAGAGACTTGAGGAACCATCTCTCCCCACTATGGACCAATGTGCTTCTGTCTTCCTTTGGATTCACCAAGGCAAAGCCCTCGTTTATCACACCTTCTACGAAGGAAAATTGGATTAGATCAAGTCACCTTCAATCACGCACATGAGAAGTGAGGAAACCAAAGATTTGTCCAAAAAAAAAAGAAATCAAAAAGCAGAATGTTTGTTGTAGCCATGTGTGTGCCAGGCATGCACCCTGATGCTGTGCCAGCTTCCAGCTACGACAGGAATTCCAGCTCACCACCGACGGCCCTGGATGGGGTGAAGAGCCTGCATTTCCACCCATGCTGTCCTTGGAAAATCAGCAAAGTGTTGTGTTCAGGATTCAGGCTTTTTAATTTTTTAAAGAAATTACACAGCTGTTGTTCATAGAAAGGATATACTTTTTAAGCAACTGTTTTCCTTACTTAGTATTTCATTATCAGCGTGTGTCTCAGTGCATTTAATGTGAGCGCTGTCCCGCACAGCTTCTACTGGAGGCTCCCTTTGTCTGTCTTCCCTGGCCTTGGGGAAGTTCATGGAAACTCACATCTGTGAAAGCCTGGGACACAAATGATGCACTGGCGCTGGCGTTCAAGCCTAAGTCAGAAAAGAATTGTTTTCCGAAGACTCTCACTTTTATTTCCAGTGTGTTTGGAAATAACGTTCTGACCGTGGAGTTTCACTAAGCATCATGCTAAACTTCCGACCGCATGAAAAGCGCCTTCTCTGGCAGGTGATGACGTGACCCTGGGGAGATAAGTGGTTCTGCTCTCAGACTCACCCATCTTCAAATCCTCACCATGTGCACAACAGGTGGATGTCACCTTAAAAGCGCTGTGTCACGAGGCTTTCCTGCTGGCTCAGGGGTCAAGAGTCTGTCCGCCAACGCAGGCGACCTGGGTTCTGTCTTGGTCACGGAAGATCCCACGTGCCATGGAGGACCAGGCCTGTGCCCCACAGCTATTGATTCAGTGCTCTGGAGCCCGGGAGCCACAAGTATTGAAGCCTGAGGGCCTGGAGGCCGTGCTCCTCCACAAGGGAAGCCGCTGCAGTGAGCAACCCGCTCTCCACAACTAG